GGCAGGGGGGAACGCGGGCCCGATCCAGCGGCCGGTGGTCCAGGACCTCCACCACGGCCTCCCTCCAGGGCGCATCAGTGCTGGTGGGTGAGATGGGGAGGGTTAGACCCTGGCCACAGCCCCCAGGTGTCACCCTGGCCACAGCCCCTGGGTGTTCCCCCCAGCCCAGCCTGGAAACCCCCTTCATTCTTCCTTTCCTCAAAACACCCTGGAAAGGGAAAATTTTTACCCACCCCGGGGCCAAAAATCAAGCCAAGGGGAAAAGCGAAGCTCTGCCTGGGTGTCCCCAGGGTGTCCCCATGTCCCCTCCCCGGCTCACCCAGGCAGGACATGGTGGTCGACCAGTGTCAGGGAGAGCAGCCCGGCGCGGTGCAGCCCCCCCAGGTCGATCTCATCCCGGAAGATGAGGGAGGTGGCAGGGATGCCCTGTTCCCGCAGCAGGAACGTCGTCTCCGTCCGCAGGGCGAAGTCGGCGCGAGGGATGTTCAGCACCGGGATGAAGGCGGCTCCAGGAGCCGGGGAGGTCTGTGGCCACGGGGGTGACACACGGTGAGGCGTCCCCAAGGCCACCCTGTGTCCCCAGGATGGTGGCCAAGCCTCTCACCTTCGCCAGGAAATAAGCCAGGGCCAGGGCAGAGACGGTGGAGTCCAGGTCACAGGCCTCGTTGCCCATCACCACGTGGATCTCCTGGCGACGCTGGACGTGGTCCTGCCGGGGCAGGGGACATCAGGTGTGGCAGTGACACGTCCCCGTCCTCCAAAACCCCCCAGACTGGTCCCTCCTCCTCTGCCACTCTCCAGGGGACATGCCAGTTGCATGTGTCACCCAGAGATGCCACCCTCTGGCACCCATCTCCCAGCTGCCACCCCCCAGGCTCCTGGCATTCCAGAAGTGCCCTCGGGAGGAGCCCTGGCTGGGATCCATTTCTGAAATGAAATCCTCACGTTTTGGGGCACGTGTGTGAAACCGGGCGCATCGAACCAGAGCAGCCAGGGTGGCCACGAGTGACCACGGCGGTGACAAGGACCTCCCCGTCCCGGGGGACACACTGACACAGCCCCCTTCAGCATTTTAACCCAAACCAAAGTGGTTTTTTTTCCCAAGACGATGAGTTTGGGACCGGCTGCCCTGCCAAAACACCACGTTTCACCCCTTTTTCCTTCTCATCCACAGCAGCAAGAAGAGAGTGACGAGCGTGTCACCCCGAATCCCCGTCCCCGGGCGCCCACCCCGTCTCCAGGCCCTTTTTGGGTGACAATCATTCCATGGCATAACCCAGATCTGCTCCTTTATTCCATATAAGCCCAGGAGGTAAACAAGGAGCAGCCCGTGCTCGGCGGGGGGGCTGCAGGGCTGGCCTGGGGGGGGGCCGGGGGGG